AGAAATTGTAATTTAAAAATTAAAAAAAATTCACTAAAAATGATTTGTCCCATTTCTACTGACTCCCCCCCATATGACCAAAAATTCTCAAATTTTAATTTTTTTACTGAATAATATAATATAGATTCATTTTTCTTGAATATGCAACATATATTGGACTAAGTCAATCTCCAACAATATATGAAATTTCTAATGGAAATGATGTGATTTATAATATATCTGGAAACGAAGTTAATTCATTTTCAGATCTTTTTAGTGCTATAATTGCAGCATATAATTGGGATTCAATTTCATTAGATACTTGGGGTTTTTGGCCTCTCATCTTAATCGGTGTGATTGGAAATCTTGCTTTTGTCATTATATTACAAAATGTGATTATCTCATTTATGAGGTATGTATATTCTATTTATTATTTTGCAAAAAATTTTATTTCTTAATTTAAAGTTAATAATAACCTCTAAAAATTCAAACTCATAAAAAGTTCTGCTTTTGAAAATGCTGATAATGATGGAAAACATGCTGTACTCTATCATCAATGATATTTGATTTCTTATTATGCATTTCTTGAACATTCTATTTTCACCTCAGGGCTCAGTGAGTTTGATTCCAAGCTTAATGCTAGATTAGACGTGAAGTATATATGTTTTTATAATGAACCATCTATTACAAAGTCATGGAATGAGGAGTCCCAATCGTGGAAATCAGATCTAATATATTTGCATGCTGAAGCTCAAATAAATACAGAATTTGAAGTTACAGTCGATAAAAGAAATATTAAATTTATTTGGGTCTCAGAAAAAAAAAAAGAGGAATTTTCATATATTTATATGGTTTAATACTTTAAAAAATGTTGTTATAGTGGATGACATTCTATACAGATGTCATATATTGATTTAATGTTTTAATTATTTTATGAAATCAGAAAATTTTGTAGATTCCTTAAATCAATGCATATGTATATGAGCTTGTGCAAACTTAAACCAAAATATATAATTAATACATTGATACCTGAGAAAATACGTAATGATAAAATCTGATAACATCGAACAAAAAGAAAAAGGTATAATAATTACAGTAAGTAGCCAAAAAGCACGTTTTATAACATGTAGCAGAAATAAAATCATAATAAATTATATACTTACAAGTTCATACCAAATACTTAAAATGCTTATGAAAACAATAAATACCATAGGTAGACTGCTTTCAGTATATTTAAATCTATCCTCAAAAGTGTAATAATGAATCAAAATATAAAGAGAAACAGAGACTGTAAAAAAATACGTAACAATGTCTACATAATTAAAAGAATCATTATAATATCTCCATTTTTTATGATGCTATTGGTTAAATTCAATTATGACATGATGATAGGCCAAATAAAAAATGATACTATGATCATAACCAACATATATTGAAAAAGTCCAGTAACATGAAAATGTGCGATATACATCCAAGAAATAATCGAATAAGTTAAAAAATATAATACAAAAATAAATAAGGATCTATGCCAATGTGATTTGGACATGTACCAAACAAAATTCATTGTGGCTTCTATGGATGGGTTATAGTAGAAAGCATCACTATTTTTAATAGTTTCAAGTTTGTCTATAAGCTTAAGAAAAGGACTAGAGTGCTCTTCCTGATATGAATATCTGCTAGGAAAAATTATAAACTTGAAAATATCCTTAATATTCTCAAATATGCCTATAATATTCACGATTATGCCATGTTTTCTTTTATCCAGCGATAAGTTTTTATCTTTTCTACTTATGAAATTGATTAAAGGTACCACTCGGATATCAGCAAGTATATTATTGCTAGATTTAAATTTTAAATTGGAATTAATAAAATAAAAACAATAATAGCATCACAGGCGTCTTACCTAATTACTTTTGTTTCCAATTTAGAGTCTTGTGGAATCAATTGTGTTATAGGTATAAAGACTTTCAAAAAAGTATTTATGCTTGGTTTAATTTCAAGAAATTCAAAAAAAGATTTATCCAACTCATTGTTACAAAAGCAAGATTTATAAAATAATAATTGTGCATAAGACATATAAAATTCTGCGTGAAAAAGATTAAGATTTGAGATGTTGATACATAAATTAACAATTAAACATGGTAAAATTTATAACTGACTATTTTTAATCTTCTCACTCTCATTATCTCTACATAAGTGCTGCCTAATAAAATTTCATAACTCTAAAAATAGCTTACTTATGTAATTCATATTTTTAGATTTACCGTTATGGATTTTCTTCCCATATTGATATAATTGCGGTATAATGTTGATAACAGTAATCATCCACCTGGCTTCTTTTACTGTCTTATTAGAATAATATTCTAAAAAAAAACCTAGAAAGACCGGCTGTTCATCTAATAAGAATAGTAATTAGCATCTAAAATTAAGTACATTTAAATTCACTAATTCAAATTAAATATACGAACCTGAAAATGCTTTGGAGATGGTATTTTCTTCACCTTCCCATGGTTTATATTGTGGCATGTGAAGCGATTTTTCATGTAATATATATTTATATTGTCATTTGATTTTAAAATTGTGATTTTTAGGATCTCCTTCTTTATGTTTTTCGCCAAATAATATATATTTTATAAGTAAATATTCTCTCGCATCAATAAGAACGCTCATTAAATCAAAGCGAAAATCCAATAATCGCCAAGAAAACGGATATAATTTAATAAATCTTATAATAATATTTTGTGTTTGTTTGACTATTTCTTTGTAATTTGAAGCGCGTTCAACAGAGAGATCCCATATAGATGTTTCACGAGACATATGATATAAGTATTTAAGCGCATGACAGGCTTCTATTACGACCTTGATTACATCATTTTCATCCCCCATTTCAATTGGGGAATCTTTATGTTGAATTGAAATTAAAATTTTGAACCTTTTAATTTTATATTCTATTTCTTTAATCTCATATTCTATTTTTTTAATCTCAATATCATCCATAGAATTATTTACATCACTATTCATATCCCTGATCACCTTAATGAATTCAAGAGTTTTTTTTTTCCCTCGATCGTACCAAACTTGAATCGTACTGCCTCCAATCAAAAGTAGAATTTCTTTTTTTTCATCAAGATAGACTGAGTATCGTGGACGACTATGATCGAGATTCGGAGCCCAAGGCTCAATTCTTTGATAAAATTTGTCTAACTCTAATATTTGTTTGTTGTCTAGTTTAACTAACGATAGAGGCTCCCAATCAGGTTTGTCGCCAGATTTCTTTAAATGATCAAAATATATATCAAAGATTAAGTCATCATAAATTGTTAAATCGTTTTTATTAACAACTATGAATGAATTTGATCGCTCCATCTGATAATAAGTTTTATCAACAATAACTTTAGGTTTAAATCCTAACTCAAACTTATTTTGATTGTCGAGTTTAATTGATTTTTGTACTGAGCCAAAAATATCCCAGATAGACCATTTATTTTCTGACCGATATACCAATAACTTTTCGTCATTATTAAAAAAAAGCATGAAATAGTCATTTAAATCATCATCGAAATTGTCCTCCTCAAGCATTATAGATGCTATTTCAAGACCACATTCAATCAAGTATAATTTGATCCGCTTTCCAGATTTATAGGCAAAAAATTTGTTATTGTTTGATATCGCAAAAACACTTGGAATGTCAGCTATGTAACTCGTAATATTTAAATTATCTCTTCGAAAGGAATATACTAATTGATCAGTTTTTAAATCATAAAGCTCCATGTATGGAGCACTATCTTGTGTAGTATCTACAAAAAAATAATGTTTATGTAAACATTTTAGAATATATCTTCTACAAAACTCGCTGACATCTAGCTCTATAATCTTGTCTCTATCTGTATTCTTGTCTCTATCTGTAATCTTATTACTATTATAATTTATAGCATTATTTATTCTGTTCGGATATTTTAGCTTTCGAACCATTTGAGTCTTGTCAGGAGGTTGATCAAAGTTCCCAATGTGATACTTATAGATCCCGGTGACATTTAAAATCACAAGAAAGCATCCATCAATCTTTTTTATATTATCATTGTTTGAACCATCAATATTTTCATGGTTGGAAAGCAATTCAACAACTCCACCATAGTCGCTAACCTTAAATTGTGGATCCATATCAATTAAATAATCCTCCTTATTAATAGAGTAAACGACGACAAATCCATGATCATGGTCTTCACTCTTGGGTGTCATGTCGTGGTTGGGTGTCATGTCGTGACGGCTTATACAAGATATCGCTAATAATCTATATTTTTTATCTGATTTAAGAATGTCTGACACGGCAATAGACCAGTTCAACTTGTTTTTGGGTTCAATCCAATTCAATTGGTCTTTTGTAAATTCTGTGGTATGGATGAAGGTAAGTTTCCTGTACGACAAACTCTTGCTGTCTTTCATGTCATTTACAACATTATACATATTAAATTTGAATTTCGATAATTCTGATACCGATACTGTAAATTGAATATGTAAATGTATTAATTTCTACCATGTAAATTATCATAGTGCACTACCTCTAAGGACATACAGAGTTAATTTTTGGTTCTCATAACATAAATTTGAAAAATGACCCGGCAACCCGGCTTTTAATTTTACTTTCAAAAAATTTTTATATATAAAAAAGCAAATAACAATTTTTATAGACTTCTAAAAAACTTCACCCGCATAGTAAATATAGTCAAAAATTTTTTTAAGAATTTTGCGAAATTTGGCCCGGCCAAGTTATGAGAACCAGTTTATTAAGTTTGTATGGCCTAATCATTCTACAATAACTTTTCTGATTCTCTAAAAATAAAATAAATCATTGAAAACATTAAAATGCCAGAATCGCATAATTTAAAATCAAGAATTTGCATAGAACCTGATAGTAGAAGTAGTGCACTAAAGTAAATTGTTATATGTAGGAATTTTACCAAAATCGACTACGAAATCGCCTTCTGGACTAATAGCAAAACATAACCTTTCTCCATTTTCTGGCACGTCGACAGCAGTATAATCTGATTCATTAGTCGACATAGTTGATAATGTAATGATAATTTCTTGATAATGTCAATTGAAATTAAAAGTGAAAACAAATAGAATTGTTGCAGTATTTATTTAAATATCTATGTGGCTTAAAATTTTGAAACTGCTTTTGTTTTTTTTTATCTTATTATTTACTTAAGATTGCGAAATTTCATTTAATGTCAAATATTTATAATATTAACTAGAACTTGCGAATGCGGGCGGCTTCGCCGCCCGATATCATTATTTAAAATCATTGGTTTTTATTATTCACATGAATTTTTAAAATAAGTACAGTCGTCCTCCTCTACAGTCACCTCCTATATAGTTACACCCTCTTTATAAGCACTATTTTTTG